CGGAAGAGAGGACTAGGCAGAACAACACGTTGAGGCCGCTGACATACCTTGGTTACGATCCGTTTTTTGATACACAATCCAGCCCGACATACGAAATCGTGTTTTGCATTCACTGCGTCACGGCTATGGTTATGTACAGCGTCACGACCGTAACATATAGTTTGGCAGCGATTTTTGTTACTCATATCTGTGGACAGATTCAGATACAAATAGTAAGGTTACAAGATTTGGTGAAGAGCCAGGAGAAAAAAGAGGATGGACGTGATTCATTCGCTTTTATCGTACACGATCACGTGGAAGTTTTAAGGTATGTAATATCAAAAAGCACGTTTAAATAAACGAATGCGATAAATATTTGTAAATACCTTTCCTTGTATATTCTATTAAATGTAAAGGAACATCGGAGAAGCAATTATATCAAAATTTCAGATTTTCGAAGAATGTCGAAGGAGCTTTACGCGAGATGTGCTTAACGGAAATCATAGAATCAACGATAATTATGTGTTTACTCGAATATTACTGCATGACGGTAAGCAGATAAATTAACGTCTGTTTATAAAGGGGTATATTCTTTGCAATTCCTTTAGGAGTGGCAAAACAGCGATACAATTGCGATATTAACTTATTTTACCTTGTTGATATCCTTTACATTTAATATATTTATATTTTGCTACATTGGCGAAGTTCTCACCGAGCAGGTACTTGCAAGAGAAATTATTCTTATTTATATATGTATTTTCAAATTCGTAAACATTCTTAATGATCGTGATTAGTGCAGCCAAATTGGTACTGTTTGTTATGGAATCGGTTGGTATAATTTGCCAGTTAAGAAAGCTTACGATCTTGTTCTACTGATCTGTGTATCCCAATATCCACCGAAACTTACAGCTGGAAAAATAATCGATTTATCACTGAATACGTTTAATTCTGTGAGTCTTGTTCCTTAATACAGTTTCGATGAATTGTAAAACAAATAGACTGAAGTTTAACGTTTAACGATATTCAGGTAGCCAAGACGTCAGTAATTTATTTAAATTTACTTCGAACAGTTACGGACTGGTAATAAAATCTAATTCTTTGTAATTATTGCTGAAAAATTGTATCATTGTATTACTGAAAATTTATTCTTGCAGATAGCATTTTTCCAAGCGAAGCTCAAAGGTATCTGTATTAATTGCGTGTATGGCCGATTTAATTTCAAGCGATTTTAGATTTGTTGAATATTATGACCGACAAGAATATAAATTTCAAACGCAGTTGATTAAAATTCTGTTAAGTAAATTATTTAATGTGCTACTTTATTCTAGGAGTAATAACGTCAAATCGTGAAGCACTTAAACGTGATACCAACTTTCGACTTTGCTCACTTCCGTATGCACTTTTAATTGAAATTTTGTCAAAATTATCAAATAATTAAATGCGAATTTTAAATTACAAATAGAAAAGTAACAGAAAACGTTGCTTTTTACTCACAAAAATATATCATGCTCTTAATATCATATATTTTCACCGGTAGTCAGGTATATCGTAGAAATATTCATTGCTATCGTAATAGTTGATATTTAAAATCGTCATTACATATTGAATATTATATACATTTTTTAAATATTTTCACAATGCTAAACAATTTCTTAATACCTATGTATAGAATGACATTTAGTTTAACCAAATAACAAGTCTGACAATAATTATAGACTTGTATAACCACTATTCTAATAAAAAAGTAAGTTACCGTGTTTTCTATATTTAAATATTATAATTCTGTATGACTATATACACATGAACGATATTCTGCCATAAAAATAGAAGTTCTTAATAGTTGTGCACTTGTGTATATCACAATCCTTACTACATATATCCCAACCCTTTCACGTTTAGTCTGAAAGTTGGACTATAGCATCACCGGTTATTATCCACGATAATTTTAAACGTTCGTTTCTGTGATAAATAATCGATTCCAAAGTTGTCAGAGATACACGCACACTACATCACAGGTGCAAGCTCGACAAACTTGCAATCAATGCTGCTAAACTACCGTAAATAGTCGTTTTCGAACTCTCGGCGAATATGCATTTTCCCACACAAAATCAGGATGACTGCAAGTTGCAGAACTTGAACTATAAAAAGGACATTACTTATGTTACCAAACACAGCAAGTGGATCTTAAACTCTATTGGTATGTGGCCAATAATATTAAAAGGTGTTGCAAGATTCCTCCCTAAAATCGCGATTGTACTCAATAACTTTGTGTTACTCTTCGCCATTATACCATGTGTACTTTACATCATATTCGATGAAAAGGATACTCTAAGAAAATTACAGTTAGTCGGTTTAGTAAGTTTCTGTGGTACTTCGTTGATGAAGTATTGGGCTCTGACTTTACGCAAATCGAAAATTGAAGATTGCATCAGACAGATGCAGACCGATTGGAAACAGGTTAGTAAATTAATAAAGAAATAAGTAAATGTAAATTAATCGAGCAAAATTAAAAGACATTAAGAGTTAATTATATACTGTTAGAAAGTGTACATAAGAAAAAATTAAAATGACTAATGTTTCATTAAAGGAACATCCTTACTGGCTGCAACAGGTGCAATTGCAAAAAGATCGTAAAATAATGCTAAAATATGGGCGATTGGGTCGAAATCTAACAATAATCTGCGTTACATTCATGTATACTGCTGGCTTAATATACCATACAATTATGCAATATGCGATCGGATCGTACATCGATGAACATAACTGTACGATCAAGCCAGTGATTTATCCCGTTTATAGTGCCCTGTTTAATGTCCAAAGAAAGCCCATTTATATACTAGTATATGTTATTCATTGTATATGTGGTTACTTAATGTATTCTATAACTGCTGGTACCTGTGGATTAGCTGCACTTTTTGTGACACACGCTTGTGGACAAATCGATATCGTTATATCTCGATTAGATGATCTTCCTCGTGACAAAGATATTACAAATACATTTAATCTGAACACGCAATTAATAACAATTGTCGAGCACCATTTACAAATTTTAAGGTACAATGAGAAATTAGCTAGTATCAGAAAATTTCCATAGTACAGTGAAATTGAGAACGATACGTAATGCATCATGGCTGATTACAGATTCTCGACAACAATAGAGATGGTACTACAAGAAGTATGCCTCTTAGAATTCATTGGTTCTACTTTTATGATATGTCTACTTGAATATTATTCTATAACGGTGTGTTTTTTTATTTTTGTCATAAGATTCCTGAAATTCATAATTATTTATTTATAACAGGATTGGGAGCAAAGTAATACCATTGGTCTTACAACATACACAATGTTACTGATCTCACTAATCTTCAATATATTTATACTATGCTATATTGGTGAACTCCTAATGAAAAAGGTATAATTTATTAAATATATTTAAAACATATAATATTATCAATGCGATAATAATTGCGATAATATGCGATTATTCGATTAAATAAATTATTACCTGTACATTATACAATTATAGTATAGAATCACTAATAATATTTATTATTTATCTATTATTCTTCTGCTTTTAACTTTCATGTATCACAGAGCACTAGTATTGGAGTATTCTGTTTTATGATCGACTGGTTCCATTTACCGACTAAAACTATACATGATCTTATTTTAATCATTGCTATATCAAATAATCCAGCTAAAATCACTGCTGGTAAGATAGTAGATTTATCTTTATCCACTTTTGCAAAGGTAAATATAATTATTATTTAAATCTTCACAATACACTACTAAAATCGCTGATCTAACTGATCATCTATTGATACATTACAGTAACTTTGTTTTGTAGGTTCTCAAAACATCATTAGCGTACTTAAGTTTTCTTCGGTCGACTGTCATGTAATAATTCTTTATTTACTGTATTTCTATTTCTCTTTTAGTATTTCTAGAAAAAAAATAAAAAGAAAGATACAGTAATACTTTATATTATCTTATGTTATATTATTTACGGTAAAACGTCTTCCAGATGGCACTAAATGGATATTCTCTATTATCTTGTGAATTAATAATATTTGTTGTTTATTAATCGAGAATTAATATGAATATCGTCATATTACACATTATTTAAAATGTATAATTAGAAATATTATTTATATACATAATTTATGAATTAATTAGGCGAATTTTTATGTATTATTTGGAATCAGCACCATCAAGCGGGAAGTAACCTAACCATTTTTCTCTACGTCTCCATAATAAAAATTTTCCGTAATAACGCATCGTCACCAAACTTGACATTTCACAAAAATAAAACATTAAAACGTTTATAATTTGTTATATACAGTAATGCACTTTCATGCGTCGTATGTGTATCTTATGTATAAAGTGAAAGGTATATAAGATTTTGTATATTTTTATATTTGTACATTTGTATATTTACAGTTTTATATTTAATAAAATCATATTCAAGCAAAGCAAGTGTAATAAAAATAATAATACACATATATGTATAGATATGTATGAACTAATTTATAAACTGATTTATAAACTGACATGTATAAACTAATTTGTATTAAAAATTGTATTATTTCAGAAAAATATTGTAATATGCTATAGAAAGTGGTATTATCAAAATGGCAGAGAAAACAACAGTGGGAGGTATTCCAATTGAATGTTTAACTGGTGAATCTGCAGCCATTTGGTCTGGTTGGCGTACATTAGGAGACAGAGAAGTTGTTAGAGAAGCATCTGTTAAAGGCACTCATATTAATCTTGCTTATAAATATATAGCTTACAGAAGAAGATGTTCTATTGAAGAAGCTCAGCATTATTTTAACAAAGAAGTAGAAATATGGATTACAGAACTTCTGAAAAGATACCAAATTTATAGAGCTTCACGAATTCTAGATAATATGGTATATAAAATTTAAATTATTAACAAACTATATTATTTTATTTGTATTTAATGTTTTTTCATAGAATAAGAATCCAGTGGAATATATATTTGATGTCTGTATAAACTGTAAGGATTTTATATTAAGGAATTATTTATCAGAATTCTTAATAAGTGCTGCACACTTTGAAGATAAATATATAAATTCATGGAACATAATAAAAAATATTGTAAAATTTGAACAAAAATATATGTAAGTTTCATAATAAATATTACTTTGAAAAGAAGAAAAAGTAAAAGATACAATTGTTTTTAGGATTGAAGATGGCTTAAGCTCTTCTTTATGTATAGCAGATATTATAAGATTACCAGAAATAGTAAAACAAGCATTATGCACCGAATTATATTTTTCTACAACTGATCAATCTCTTTCAATAAACATAACTAATAATATACTATGGAATTATTTGCTATCAAATAATAATATTGTATTAATCAAATTTTGGATTGATATTTATTATGGAAGTAATACAACCGAAGAATTAAATGAAATTAATGAAGAATACAAATCTTTGTTTAATACTTTGGATATAGTGCCAAGTATGATTGAAGCTATTGATTCTTCAAATGCCAGTCCTCTTATAAAAGATTTAACTAAAAATCATCTATGTAGGTATGTCTATGTGAAATATGTTTATCATAAAAATATATTTAAATATTTATTTACTTATTTATATCAGGTATGGCATATTTATAGAGAAAGAACAAAAAGATATAAAACTATTATTATCGCGAATTTTTGGTAGTGCAATAACAATATCAGAATTGAACACAATATTATCACATGAATCTTGCAATATTAATAAAACTGAATGTATGAAAATAATTGATAAAGAATTGTGTCTTGCGCATTGCTTATATCAAACAAATACTCAAGAAAATAAAACTAAAATCACTGAATTATATGATGCATTAACAAAAATGTGTGAAAGTCAAGAACAGCTTCAAGATGCATTAATGGAAGGGATTTTTAAAACAATTTCTTATCTTTCTGATGATGTTACTAAATATTTGGAGCAGAATTATTTAATAGTTTTTGTACTAATATTTTCACATTTGTTTAAAGAAAATATGGTATATAATCAGAATAAAAATACAATAATAAAACAAAATGTACTAAGAGATATATTTACAAGTGAAAATGACCTGCAATTATGTGGCAATAGTATACCAAATAAAGTTCTCCAGAATATATTAAAATATGTACCAATACTTGAATCCATTATAGAAAAAAGAACAAAGAAGGAAGCTACAATGTACGAATTATTAGATGGTTACAAAAATTTGAATGTAAAGCAGTTATATAAATGGCGTTTTAATAATGAACCTATGCCTCATTTTTCTAATGAAGCTCTTAATAAGAAATATGGACATATAGAAGCATTAACATACGAATACTATTTAAAAGAAGCTCGTCCTAATATGGCCATATTTAGCTTAAAATTGTTTGAAGGAAAATTAGTTGAAAATGTTTCTTCTAGAAGGTAAAGAAAAATTGTGGAATAATGCAAGTTTTCATTTATAAATATTGTATACATACTTTTATATTATTTACAGGAAACGTAAAGCAGCTCTGTTTGCGCATATTTTCGCATTACGAAATTTAGATAAACCAGAAATATTACGTACATGTATTTCTTTCATTGAAATGTTAGGTATTGATTCAGAAAATTTGAGACTTTATATAACTGTAGCAAATTACATTGATAAAGAAATCGATATTTCTATCGGTAATTATGTTCATTAAATATTTAATAAACTTAGTACTCATAGATTTCTAATATGTTACATTATTTAATTCACAGGAAATTTATTAGAAAATATAATGTATAGAAATGAGGATGATTTGAAAATTATAATGTTTCATTTTGAAAGTAATTTCCAAAAAAACTTTTCTAATAATTTAATTGAAGATAGTCAGCAATTTGTAAATGTATTACAAACATGGGATGTTATTGTACGATTTGCAGGAGCACATAATTTTCCTTCACCAATCAGTTTATTAAAATTGTTAGCAAGTCAGAATTACTGGTTTGAATTTATATTAGTTTGTCACATCTTTAATTATCCTTTGAATCAGGTAATAATATAAATTTAAATAATTTATGTGTTCAGTTAAAAAAACATTACATGTTTTGTCACTTCTAGATATTGGAAAACATAACATATTTTGATGACACAATTCTCAGGGAACATTTGTTAACTTGTTTGTGTAATATCCAACTTACGAAATCTCAATTAGCTGTCTGTAATGAACAAAAAATAAAGTCACGAGATGTTAGACAATCACTATATTACAAAATTGGTGTTCAACAAAGTGTGAGTAATATATGTTATGTGTTTATGATAAATTTTATTTATCGATATAATATTATATTATTATTAATTAGGGATTGCATACTTTGGATTCTTCAGTATCAGCAGATTCAGTGAGCACTTCTGATTTTCATAGCTCGTGTGAATACATTATAAATGATAACATTTGTTTGCCAGATGATGATTTATGGCTAATTATTCTAAAATGTCATCAAAGTCCAGACCCACCTGGTGCTTTAATAAATTCATCCCGGTTAACCTTAAGACCTTTTCTCACAGTCCTAGCATCCTGTTATGAGGTATTCTATACCAATAATTGTAATATTTTCATATTTTTATGACCTATAAAATTTTCTTTTACTATTCAACATCTTTTTTAGCCTTCTTCAGTTGCAGCATATTGTTATTCATGGATGGTGATATCTACCTCAGATGAAAAAATGCTTTCTAATTATAAAGAAAATTTGGAACAACAAGTATGGACAGCAAATCAAGTCTCTAACTTATTAGAGCAGATGGTAACCTGTGGATATATTAATATTGTTAATAAAGCTTACAAGATTTTTATGCCTGTAAGTGTATTTTATCTAAATATCTATCTATCTATCTATCTATCTATCTATCTATCTATATATATATATGTTATGTTAATATAATTTAATTAATTTGTAGGAAAATCTCTTTAATTCATTTTTTGAATTTCTTGTACAATGTGTAAATTATGGCGATTACAATGTTTACCAACAAAATTTATTGCATTTTAAAGTATGCTGCATAGACCTTAAATGTAATGTATGTATTAAATGCTGTTTAATACTTACATAATTAAATAAAATAATATGATAATTGTATATTTTTTAGAAAACTATGGATTGGAATTGTTCAGATTCTACATATTTAAATAATTTATACTGGATTGCAGTTGTTGCAGTTAAATGCATTATTGCAACACTAACTCATGGTCTAAGAAGTACACATTTGCAGATAAAATTCCTTGAAATTTTAATCACATGTAATTTTCACATGAATTTTCCAGGTATTGCGATCTTATACAAATTAATATTTTACTAATTTTGTTAATATCAGAAAATAATTTCTTACATTGCAGTTTTGGTTCCAAATTTCCAGTTGTTTTTACAAATTATAAAAATTCTACAAAAAACCAATGTTACATTCAATTTTGCAGCATTCTCTGTATTGGATAATATATATAATTTTGATACAGAAATTCGTAGATGTATTGATGATTTACTGAAAATTGAAAATTATACTAATGCCTTAGAATTATCAGATGTGGCAGAATTAAATCCTTCTGAGATAATATTAGCCCAGGTAACATAATTATTATCTTATTTTAAATACAAATATTTTTATTATCTTTTGTATTTATTTGGCATCATTCTCTTACTAAAACCTACAGTATCAAAGTAAATTCAATTATATGTATAAAAATGACAAAATTGAAGATAATTTTTGGAATGAATGTGCATTAAATTTTAAAAAGTGTAATGTATCATATGAAAAGGCAGTAGAATTTTTTGTTGAATGTGCTGAAAAAGTTACTTCTCACAAGGAAAGGTATGTATTATCTTTTCACCCAAGAGCACTAATCTTGTAAAGATTTAATGAAATAAAACATATATGTTTCCACAGATATGAAATATTAAAGCTAGCTTTTGAAAATTTAAAAAATATTGAGACAGAACAACAAAATATTAATACGCTAGAAACGGCAATGTGGAAATCGTGTATATTAGCGGGTCCCGAAAATGTACAGTTAGATAGTGGACCTTATATTTTTAATAAATTAAAAACAGAACTATTATCGGAATTAAACGAATTAAAATTTGTTTATACATTGAATAACATGCAGGAGAAAAATGCTGCTGAAAATTTAATTAATATATTAATTGATTTAGGTAAATTGGATACTGCATTAAGAATAAGTAGAATTTTTAATTGCAAACATAAGGTAAGTTTCATTCAATCTTAGTTAAATATTGGTATTAAAATTTCTTTTCTTTTTCTTTTTTTTAGGATTTACAAATTCTTATGTTATGCTTGAGTTTAGCAGAAGGGGAAATTTCACCAAATGACTTAACTATTGAACAAGAAAATCTTCTGAAAGAAGAAAATAAGAATAAACAGCAAAGATATAATGCATTAAAGAATCGTGGTTTACAAAGATTGTCTTCATGCTCCTCGAGTATTTTTAATTTATATTTTCATTAGATCAAATTGTTAACTGATGCGTATTTATAACAAAACCTTTGTTGCAGTAACCACTTCAATCAGTATAAGTGAAATAAGTAAAGTAAAAGATGAAAATATTCATAAAGTACAAATGGAGTGTTTATTAATTTTACAAAAATTACTTGACACTTTGGAACATGGATTAGACATATGTCTCAGAATTGTCTTATGTTATAAATTAGCAATGCAATTGGGAAAACGTTATGAGTTACTGCTAACATTAAATAATCCAATTCAGTTTTTACAAGAAATTGCAGAACGTGATATTAAAAATAAATCTGAAGTTATTAATGATATAATTATAGCATACAAAATAAATAATGACGCTATGGCTACATTTTTGGCTGAAAATATTACGCTAAATATTACCCGCGTTGTAGAAGGTATATAACAATATAGTTCTTGTAAATGTACTATGAATTAATACATTTTTATAAGAAGTTCGTATTTTTTATAGATGAATATGAAAATAATGTTTACTTATGGGGATATTGTTTAAATACAAATTTTCGTATTATTATGGAATTATGCAATGATGTTTCACTCCTTGGTTGGAAACTCTTAAAAACAGCAAATAAATTGCTTGGACATGGTGACAAAACAGATGGTAGTATAACAAAATTGAATAATTATTACATTCCTATAATACTTAAATTTGTTTTTTTATCCCTTTCTTATTATTCAGCATTGAATTTAAAGACAATTGTAGAATTATTAATACGAGCTCATGACTGTTTTACAACTTCCTGTAATATGAAAGGAATAGCATCAGTATTATATAAATGTCAAAATTTCGCAGATATTTTGCAGAATCTTAAGTATTGGACATTATTGGTATGTCAGTTTTTAAATATAAAAATAAACAAAATATTGTACATTATATGTAAGAAATATACAATATCAAATGATTTTAGGTACGTCTTGTAACAGGTGTTGGTCGTTTTACAGAAATGAATTATATATTTCATATTTTAAAAGAAAATGACCAATTCGAATTTTTACTTGGAAAGGGATTAAATAAGGTATTTTTGCATCTCTTATTTTTACAGATTCATGCAAATACTATATATGACATTATATAAAACATATTATAGGTAAATGGTTTAAAAACAGCACTTTTGGAATTTTTGAAACGTCATTGCCCTGAAAATAAAGAGCTTTTTACTCTAGTAGCTTTACATTTTCAATTATATCATGAACTAGCACTTATGTGGGAAAATGAAGCAAAAAATATAATTAAAGCAATAATATTAGATGCTATAAAAGCTCATAAATTACAAAATTCTGTACAACATGAAATAAAATTCATTAAAACTGAAAATATTCAGAAACAATTACACTTAACTGTAACTAATTATACTCATGCAACAGAATATTATTTACAGGTACCACTTATCATTCAAACTGTTTCTTTAATACAAATTTATTTTTGCTATAAATATTTATAAATGTGTTATAGGCTAATAAATTAAATCTTGCTAGTCAATGTTCTGATCAAGTACAATTAGTTGATCTTCAACTTTCACTTCTTAATACAGTGTCTTATAATCAAGAAGCAATTTGTATTCTTAATTTAAAACCTGAAGATATTGATAAAGTATTATGTCATAATTTAAGCTTCTCTCAAGCTTTTATTGTGGTACATGCTTATAATCATCATGTGGATTGGGCTAATCTGATTTATAATCACTGCATATTAAATGGAGAAACAAAATATTTGAAAGATTTTATAACTGTAAATAAGATTACACCTGGTCTGGTACAAGATTGTGCACGCAGGCAAGTTAATTATTGTTTTAAAAAAATGAATTCTTTTTAGTAAATACCTTCTCACTTTAATTATTATTAACTTTATTATAGATATAGATTAGAAAAAAACATTACTCATACTATGTCAGACAACATGAGAATATTAATTTCTGAACTATCAGATGTAGAATGTAAATATATACTAGCTAGTCAGTTGGGATTTAAAAATATTGTAGAAACAATGCTCTGTAATCCTATGATAAATGCATACCTTAAAGATATTGTATGGAAAAGAAGAATATAATAATATTCAAATATTTTAAACTCTTTTAGCCATACATTGGCTAAAAACATTCATAAATATTATAACATCCAAAAAATATGTACATTTTTATTATCATCTTTGTATAAATAAATATTTTCTTGTAATTTATCACCAATAATTTTTCCTATCCTTTTCAAATGTAAATAAAGAATTCGGATTATATATATACTGAAAAACAAAACAGTTATTTATCGAACTTCATTCCTGCCTGAGACAATATACAATTTATATATTAATAATATACAGCTATAATGATGCATGAAAATATATGTTATAGAAAAATTTGGTGGCATTGTCAAACTAAAAATGCAGCAGTATTAAAGTTAGACATATATATAAAAAAATATGAAAAAAAATTCGGTAAAATATCATCCCAAAATATTTTGTCTCAAAGACAATTAAAATTATTAAAACTTATGCATGAATTAATGAAAACTATCGAAGAGGAGGAAATTAACAAACAACAAGGTATAACTTTATAGTTTTCTCGAACATTATTTTAAAATTTCATTATTTATTCAATTATAGCATTTCAATTGCTAAAGACATCTAACGATGCAATAAAAAAAACGATTTCTACGTTCCAAGATTCTATGAAACGATATAAAGAAAACATGAGAACTGAATTTGCGAAACTCGATTGTTTAAGTACAAATCGACTTTTAAGTATTAATTATACGTATACGTAATTTATCAATTTTATCATACATTGAATATCTATATTGTAAAATACCTAGAAATAAAATATTCTAAAAAGAAAAGTATTTTGAAAAATATATGTTAATATATCAACTTATCTTATTTACGTGAAATAGCATATAATATAATATAATAAAAATAGAAATAAATACAATTTATTATAAATCATACACAGTTTAATATAAGATTAACATTTTGTTCGTATCACAGCATATTCTTCTTAATTACAAAATTATTTATTTATTACTTTTCTTCATTGAAATAGTAGAACATATCAATCTGTGTTATGAAATAAATTAAGTTATACTCTTATGACTTTTATCAGATGTTGAAATATCGCTGTTAGGTCGACGTTTAATGGAATTTGTATGTACATCATTTGTATTGTCCTTTCTCTTTATATTTATAGTTTGTAACATTGAATTATTTATCTCCCATTGCAAACTTTCAGCCACATGAAAATCCCAATGTTCTTGATACTTTGATATAGGTATCATTTGATAACATTTAAGACATTGTTTAGAAGGAACTTCAATTAAATTTGACGAACTTTTTTTTATTAGAAAGCTAGAAATATCATTATTTTTCTTTCCTTTAAAAGTATTGGTTTTAGATTTATTTTTTCTTTTCGATGTTTTTACTAAAACTTCTTTTATATTATCCTTCTTATTTTCTACTTTCATATATAATTTTGCTTTTTCTTGTAAATCGAGAGGTAACAATGCAACTACAGTAGGATCAATATTATTCAAATCTGGAAATATTTCATTTAATTGTATAATATACTGTGCATTATCTTGTTCTTCATATATTTCATTATTTTCATTTAGCTTTATACTTGAAGAACTTGGCTCATTTTTAATTTCATCATTCATATATTTTTTGCAGTTATTTGTTACATTCAAATCCAATTTTATATCAGAATTTCTTCCTTCCTTATTTTTAATATCATCTTCTTTTATGTTTTCAAATTCAATATTCATATTTGTATTATCATTTAATTCAATAAATTCAACATCATTTGTATGTGTATTTTCTGCGTTATTTCCTTTTTTGCTAAAAACATTCATAAAAAATGACTCCTTGAAATCATTTTGATCTAAGGAATTATTTAAGTTAGAGCTATTTATTCTTTTCTTATAAAATTTTGTTTTATTTCGTTTATTCAACGAGTTAATTAAATTATTTAATCTTCTAGAAGTAGGAGAATAATCTGTTCTTGAATCAGAAATTTGTTCTCTGATGTTAGAATTTTGCTCAACATGTTGCAGTTTATTACTTGATTCATTATTAATTTCATTATCATTAGAAATTATATTAACAACTTTATCTAAATTTAAATTACTTTTTAGTATTTTAGTAGTATTGTCTACTGAAAACATATTTTCAACATTTATATTCTTTATTTGATCATCTATTTCCAGATGATATCCTAATTTATTTGATTTAAAGAAATTCCGAAAATTTTCACTACCTTTAGCTAGTACAAATTTACCAGCTGATATACCTAAATATGCAATTGGACATTGTGTTGATTTAGATATAATTTCCACACATCGACCTGCCATCTTCTCTGGTTTGTATGAATTTAAGGTATATGAACGTGATTGAGATACTGTAGTCTTATTTTGATAATAATGATAACAAATAGTTACTAATGTTGCGCGTCGTTCATTCTCTTCAAGATCTTGTTCAAGGCGTTCACAAACTTCTGCTGATAATTCATTGGCCCAATGTTTTAACTATAAACGAAACATCATATATTATACACAAGTATAATTCATAACTTTTATTTGTATGAATTTTACTGTTTACTTTACCACATCTAATGAAGTAATAGCTTGTTTTCCTGGAAACTTTTTACATGCCCCAATTGACTTTGATACCAACCGCATAGTAACAGGTTCATTATCTACACCTCGAGCAATATTATATAACCATAATCTAAATAAATATATTAACATAATATAATATACCAAACTAATTTTGTAGACATTATTATTTTAAGTATATTTGCCAATTCAAAACATACCCTGTTTTATCATCAAAACGTTTTTGTAAATATTGCAATGAATACTGCAATAAATCACCCATAACATTGCAATTTAGAGATTCAATAACAACATCTCCAAACTTTCCACCAAGATTTCTAACTTTTTTGATTGGTAATGTCGAGTACAGTATTGGTACTGCAGATGCAGGCAATATTGTTTGCCTGTTTGGTTTATGTAATCCACATGCCAATTTAGCTAGTATCTAAATATATGTACATAATACCAAAATACTTTTCATTTTTGAACGAACACATTGATTCTCATATCATTTTCCATTGATTTATGAAATATATAAAATTTTACCTTATTTTGTGCAATACCAGCTGAACATCTAAATCCAGTTTTATCGTATACGTCAGCTCTTATTTGTTCAACTATTACTCCAGCTATTGCAAGTCTTTGTGCTTGTATATCTTCAAATTCCTCAAACACATTTATTATCCAAGATCTTGTGCTTTTACTTCTTTCTTCTAAATTCACATCATACAATTATTTAATTAATGAAGTTACATATAATAATATTTGTAACCATGAAAGATTACAATCAATTGATTTTTACCTTCATCATTTTTTCCAACTTCTGAATATCCTACTACAAATGTATTTGGAAGCTGTGTCATTATATATTCTGAAGAACTTAAATTTGTGGACATTCTTTTAATAACTATGTCAGTAATATCTAAATATGCTTCGTCCACACTAGCACGTTCTATTACATTACAATGATTCTTTATAACATCAATAACTTCACGACCCGCATTTCTGTATCTGTACAGATATTTATAATTTATAAAAATGATACATATTTGATAAAAAAGCATAACATTTTAATATACCTTGATGTATCAGCTTTTCCACGAAGACAAGGTACACTAGCTAAGACAATATCTCGACATTTTTCTTTTGCTTCTTCACCTCTCATATGTCTTGTAACACCATATTCTCTTGCTTCATAATTAACAGCAATTATTCTAATTAAAACATATTATCAATTATCACATATATCTGGAATTTAATTATTTAATCACAATTTACATTAATTAAAATATCTTACCCTCCTAACTGCCATTGATTATATTGCACAACAGCAAGTGGTTTTCCTGCATATTCTGGTCGAAGTTTTGTTTCAACCTGACAGAAGAAACAATCCATATCTATTAACACGACAATTCTATCATTGTTCGAAGTTGCCATATTAACTGAAATTGTAGTAAGTTACACAATAAAAGCATTACTATCTATGTTACTTTATTCATCTAATATTTTTCAAGTGAATTTTCATTGTACATATGTGCTCAGACATCATTTTAATATAAAAATAGTAAATAGTATGAAAATATACATATCAACTTTTGCATTGAACATAATCAAACTACTTAACCGCAATTTAACAAAATCATAAATTTAAAATTAGATCGTCGTTCCTAAACTTATGTTATTGTGTAAAAGTAAAGTATAAGTAGTATCTTTAATCACTGGTACCACTAATAATTTTATATATCGCCTATAAATGTACATAACTTTTTAGCAGAAAAACGTTATAGACATTATTACAATAAATTAAAAGAGAGATGTATACACTGCAATAAATATTAATTTTCATAAATTATAATTTTAAATTACATGTTGTTTTAAAATATTTTTAGAACACATAGTATTTAGTTTGTAGTATTGCATGTTTAAAGTGTTACATTTACGAACATAAAGTACTTTACAGATTATTGAAAATACAAGTTAAGATACCTGTCAACTTTCGGAACACCTCAATTGTTACAAATACAATATAAACGCGTTTTTTTTTTTGCAAAGTTTTATTCTTTGTTTTATTTGTACATAATTTACGTGGTGTGAGGTATTAACAGTTTTGTGACAATGCCAAGTAAAAAGAAAAAATATAATGCACGATTTCCAGCAGTGAGTATTAAAATACTCTGTATAGTTTGAAAACATTTTTTCGAAAATATTGAAATTTCACATAAATTATATGTTTATAATTTTAATAAAATCAATTATTCACAATAATATTTAAATTATGAAAATATATAAAATTAAAAAATATAGTTATACATGATAATTCTTAATACATACCTAACCTGCATTTACAAATCTATTTAGGGTAGAATAAAAAAAATTATGCAGACTGATGAAGAAGTTGGAAAAGTCGCACAAGCAGTGCCAATTATAATTTATATCCTTTTTAAATTAACAATAAAATAATAATTTTAATTAACATACTAATATAAGTTAACACCTTTAGTGTTTACATTATAAATGTTTAAGTTGTTAATAGTATATTTGTTTTGAAAATCAATTCCTTAATTATTTTTATACCTAGAACATTAGAGCTGTTTGTACATTCATTACTTACAAAAACTATGGAAATTACAAGTGCCAAAAATGCCAAAACATTGAGCCCATCTCATATGTAAGATCTTAAAAATTATTACCTTGATATTTGATTTTAACTTATCTATTGATAATATGTTAAATATACTTATTTATAGGAAACAGTGTATTTTATCAGAAAACCGCTTTGATTTTTTAAAAGATTTAGTGAAATCTTTACCAGATGTATCAGGACCTGATGAGGATGTGCCTACACCACCATTAACACCTGCTCCAATAAATGCAAATGCATCAAACACATCAATTTGCACACCTACAATACGACATTCAGATGTAGGGTAAGTATTAATTGACCACTTTCTATTTATAAATTTTAAATATATTATTATATTTTCATAGAATTCAAAAGCAGCAAATGGGATTAACTAATGAAGTAAATATAGAACATAAAAATTTAAAAGACAATGGTGGAACAAGTGCTGTTAATGAAATGATTAAAAATACAACTGTCCCTCAAGTTCCAGAATTTCAAATATCTGTGCCTGCATCATTTCAAATTAGTCAACCTAATTTTTATACAGAAGTTAATCCTATGAATTTAAGTACAAATACATCTGGTGTAAATACAAATAATCAACCAACATCAAATTTTGCTCATACTGCTACTTTGGATGAAGATTATGATACATAGTTACTTTTCAAATATTAGAAATACAAATTTAAACTTCAAACAATAACAGAAATGTTTGATTGAATAATGTTACACGTTATTGTTCAGAAGTTTGCAATTAATATGCTTGAAATAATTTGCATTATTTAAACAATTTTGTTACTTATATATACTTCAAGAGCCATAAATTTTTATATTTTTATATTTGTTCTATTAAATTATAAATTTTGTTCAGATTAGTTAAAACTACATATTTGGTATTTTTAAATATTTTGTATAACTGTACTCAATTATTGTGAAGCACTCATATTTTAAGTACTTTATATTATTATATACACATGTATAATAAGTATGAATATTTGAACTTACACAATTGTTGTGTGCTCCAAACATATGTGTATTAAAAATAACCTAGATACAGTTTTTCTCTGTTTACATATTTATGAAAATATATTGTACATTTATGTAGGTACAAATACATTTACTTATTAAGGAGGTAGTTAGGTTTATGTTTGTGTAATTGGAAACTATTTTTATGTGTACCTCATTTAGTTTATACATACTTAAGAATATTTATGATTCACAACATAATGTATACAATAATGGGTTTTATAACTAACATTTTTTACCTGTACACATATAGATTTTTATAAAACAATTTAGTATATAATAAGAAATTTTATATATGTTAACAGTATCTTAACAATATGTAACAGAATTAACTTAAAAAAAATGACATTGTTAGGTATTTCACTTGAACATATATATATATATGTGTGTGTGTGTGTGTGTGTGTGTGTGGGTGTGTGTGTGTGTGTGTGTGTGTGTGTACAAAGTCATATCTTAAACAAAATGACTGAAATAGCTAATTTTTCACAAAATTTTTCGTAATTCAATATGTATACAACAATTAGATAAGAATAGATTATTAAATTTGATAAAGACTTAAATTGTGATAACTACTTCATTTGCATGAAGAAATTATACTTAGGTCATTTATTAAACACATTAATTGATGAAAACTTATTACAAAAAAAAGAGATAGTGTATTTAGATATGTAAATACTAAAATTAAACTTTAATTGCATATTTTAAAACTAGGAAATGTTTTCGTACTATAATAGAATAGAATAATTGTAAACATCATTTATATGAAATACAAAATCTGAAAATATTGTATTTATAGTAGCATGTTTAGCGTATCTCGTATTTAATATAACAAATGTGAAATACGCTCTTTTAAAAATAGGGAAAAAATAAGCAATAGTTATGTAAAGAATGTTATAAAAATAATGAGAAAAATGCGCGTGTTATGTGTGTATTTAAAAACAGTAATACTTTGTTTAATGGATTTCATGTAATAATAAAATGTAATTTATTTTCGTAGATAAAATAGAAAAATAGTGGAAAAATTATTTAATTATTAAATGTTATAATTTCAGATAAATTATGTTTATCTAGGTATTAACACGTTAAGTGTCACGCCAGTCCTTGTAAACCAGTATCACACTTTCCGTTTATGCTACAGCAGACTATATGGACCATTCGTTGACTCTTGTTTTAAGCTACGCTGCTGCGCCGATCCGGCCTAAGTTTTAACGTAATTAACATTTTTAATGTTAGATGATCCTAATACACGATGATATCGATTTTTAGGCGGGAAAATTAATTCAGTAGATATATTGCTTTTTGAATCTAACAACATTGTAAATTATAAGACAACAAAAAAAACTTTTGAAAACATTTGAAATAACTGTTTTAGCGAACGAAACTCTATCGTACCTTCTATAAAACCAACTATTTGATAACCGTCCTGGCATTTCTTCACTTACTTCCTTATCATTTGTTTATATTTACACGTTAAATGTATCTCACAGATTATTAGTATCAAATAACGGCGAATGGAATCTGTCGGAAAATTGGTGTAGCACCTAACGTGTTAAAAACGGAAAAGGAATTACAATCTTTCTTATATCTAAAAACGTATAGTTAATTAACGATAGAGAAATATGCATAGTTAAGAACATAATATTTTTATTTAAAAAAGACTTCGAATTATTTTGAAAAAGTTCATAAATAATATTAAATACTCTTTTAATCTACTAATGCAAAAGAATAATCATATTTTTTTTTTAAATAACTTTAAGTGATATTTTACCGCCAAATATTTAAATTTATATTTATTAGTTACATAAATAATAAAAAGGTATCCAATATTATTAAATAAATATTAATAAACACAATATAATGATAAGCACAATATAAATGATATTTAATAATATTAAATGACAAAAAGATGGAATTTTATATTGACGGTAACTATCTCATATAGATATCAAAAACTTGGATGCCTTAAGAACAATAAATGATGATAAATTCAAATATATTTGTAATAAAGTATAAAATATATTTTTAAGATTAGGTAGGATTATAAAACAATAAAATAGAATTTTTACTTTTTCATTTATATTTAATTAAATAAAATTCTTAATAAAATGGTAATGTTATTTATATACATATACTTACATTTATGAACATATAGATAATGAAAATTTGTTAATTATTTAATTTTTATATTACATTATATTTTTATGAATTATTTCTTATCAGTATTAGAAAACTAAGGTTGGGTAAATGATATATGTTTCGAAAACTAAAAGTATAAACAAATTATAAAAAATAATGTTTAGCATATTTGTAAAATTTTATGTATAATTTTCGATGTAGAAAAAAGTTGTCGGTAATTATTCAAGATTTTATATTTATCTAGAGAAAATAATTCGATATCCCTAGACAAATTCTATTCGTTTTTAATTATAAACAATTTGTGTAAATTTCTTTAAAAAATCTTTATATTAGTGATTGTTATATGCAATTAATTAACTTTATGGGCAAAAATAAATGATGAGCACTTAAAACCTACAATTAGAGCTTTCAAGAAATGTTTTGTTGATCATTTAGCGTACTTCAAGTGTAGAGATACTTCTTACTGACATAATGTATGCTATTTGCAAGTAATTTTCATGAATTTCAATTATTAAGTTTATGTTATTAAACATTTATAAGAATCAGATTTTATCAAAATAGTAAATTTGAAAAGGATTGGTAATTTATTGTGGACGCATTTCCTTAAAATCGTAAAATGCGTCCGTATATTATTTAACATTAACAATTCGTTCAAGAAAATTTAAAGATTAACATCTATTCTACGTTTTTGTGGCAAATTATAAAAAGATGCGGTTATGCTGAAATTACAATTTTCTTAGGTAATATATGTTTAAAATATCACTTAACAAAATTTTTAACCTGATGATTCACAATACACCTTTTTTTTCTATTGTAAAGTGTATTCTTTCTTAGCTCCTTCCTCATTATTAGACTACATTACTAATAAATTTTTTTAATATCCTTAAATATTTTGCATTCTATAATTCTATTATTGTTAACAGAGTAGTTGTATATCATAAATCTAATTCATAATATTATTTGTTTATATTTTGACTTTGAGATTGTTATTGTTTAGTAATTGTAAAAAATTAAGTAATATAATGTTGGTTATTTTATTATTTTATTTTTATAAGTTGCAATATTGTTATTAAAGAAACACATTTATATATTTATTGCTATATATTTTGCGTATTTTATCATAATTTTATATAAAAAGCATGAAGTTAATAATTATTATTGAATAATTTTGAAATATATAATTTTATATGACAACATACATTTTATTATAACTTTATTTGATCTGTGTAATGATATAAATTATTGAAATAATTAAATATAATTATAAATAATTATAAAATGTAAGATGTTGTTCTGTTATAATTTTTTTTAAATTTTATAGTAATTTATGGCTATTTGCTTAGTTTAGATCCAGTATATAGCAAACGTATTTGCTTATTAGGTGCGTTGGAACATAGGTAGTGCTGCTGTTCAACTCTTCAAGTACAGATATCTCTATGATGTTTTCGTCAGGTCTTAGCTGCAATCTGTCCTTTCCCAGTTGTCTGGGTTATCCACAGGACAACGAAGAATTAATACCAAAAATGGCTAGAGAACCAATTATCCTTAATGTTTATGATATGGTGAGAAATATAATTTTCTTAACTTTTATGTATTTATATATATTTTTACGTCGTTTCTTTTTCATATATATTTTTTAAAAAGAGCATTTTTTGTTTTAGTATTGGATAAATGAATATACCACACCAATTGGATTAGGTGTATTTCACTCAGGGGTTGAAATTTATGGAACAGGTATATATAGAAAATATTTTACTTTGTACATGCTTTTTTTTTTTTAAATTTCATCTAAATTTATTAATATTTTAATTTAATTATATGAATTAATTTGTAGAATATGCATATGGAGGACATTCTAAACCAATTTCTGGAATTTTTGAAATCACACCCAGAGTTGCTGAAGAATTAGGAGAGAAATTTAGATATAGGTAAGAATATACCTTTCAGATATCAAAACAAGAATTGTATCAAAACAAGAATAAATATACTTCTTATCATAGGCAATCAGTACATATTGGTTATACAGATTTCACGGAAGAAGATGTAACCAGAATTGTTACTGAATTAGGAAAAGATTTTAGGGGTGATCGTTATCATTTGATGAATAAAAATTGTAACCACTTTAGTAGTCAACTTACACTTGTATGTATATAAAAATACAGTATAAGTATTTATTAATTGAAACAATGTAGATATAATATTTTTATTCTAAATTGTAGATTTTATGTGGTCAAGAAATACCAGGTTGGGTAAATCGTCTTGCATACTTTAGCTCTTGTGTACCATTCCTTCAACGTTGTCTACCGAAGGGATGGTTAACGCCCGACGCACTTCAACATTCTTTGAATCAAGTCAGCCATGAAAGTACATCCTCTGAAAGTACATCTTCTGATACTTTCTTGTAACATTTAGCCAATTTTATAAAACGAAGAGATTTAAAATGCCGTAGGAGTTACACCATTTAGAGAGTTTATGCGCAAAGGAAGTTTATCATGACAGTAACTATATCGCCAAGATTAAGGAATCCGAGAAACAAAACCGTCAAAATGAGGTACAAATTTGATATTGTACTCTAGAATTCCAATGGTGATTTAATAATACTGAAAAAAATGCCTTTCTTGCAACATGTCGTCTTTAAAATTTTGGACGGCAGTATACAATGTCGCGTGTGTTCTTTGTTGTATCATACAGTCGAAATTTAATAGGTATATACTTAATAGATAATTACGTATAAATCAAAGGCATAAAGAGACTGGAACGTATTTATTTATTAGTTAAACATATTAATTTTTTAAGAAATTTCTTGTGACTAAGGTTTTATACACGTAATTTTGTTTCGTATTGTATTTGAAAATTTATATTTGTAAAACATAATTCATTCAAATTATATTTTAGAAGTATTCAGTGATGTTTTTCTAAAATTCAATAACCTGATTTTCTTGGATATTATAATTATTTATTCTATGCATACATGCGACACCTCTCTGTACAGCTGCCATTAATATTATTAGGAAATTTAAATGAAGAATGAATTTAATATTGAGATTCGTACATAATAAATAATCAAATTATGAATAACTTATTTTTCATCTATGTTTTAATGAAAATATGTTCTCTCCAAGCACTTTTATAAGGAACATATTTATAATTTTATAATTAAAATATTGAGTCAACAATTTTGCACCTATCACATTCCATAAAGGTGCTATTAAATTTTGCACAATGTAAATCGAAATATAATATTATAATTTTGGTAGTTTTTACCAGATTTAGAATTCAATGAATTCTTTTTAAATATTCTTAGTATACAAAACATTAATAATGTTGCAGAAACTGTTGTTGACATCAAGTTTATAATGTTACATGTTGAAAAAAAAGGAAAAATTCATAAAGTTATTTGAATATGATATAAATACAAAATAATTCTGTTGGATGTATCATATTTGTAAATGTAATACAAACATCAAGTAACAATTAGTGCCAATTCAACTTTCTGTTAATTCTGTTATAATGAATAACTATCATATGTTGTATTCAACTCATAAATGTTACCAATCATAAGTATGTTATATTCATTGTTAACATGTGAATATCTTTCAAGTAATTATTTGTAGAAAAATTTAGGATATATAATAATTACATCTAACATAATGCTTTTATTATTTTATATAAAACATTTCAACAGAAATATCAATTATTCTTTATTTATATAATTGTTCTAAAAAAGGCTTCATTGAAGTTAAATTTAAAATTAATTTAAATTAATAAAATCACTTAATATGTTAATTTATACAATATCACCGAATATAAATTTGTATGTTTCTATATGACATATGCCAGAAAAATTTCCTCTTCATATATATGTATTATATTTGCAAAAAGGTATTAAAGATAATTAGTCATTATCAATATCTCATAGATCAAAGCATGTTATGTTTTATATTCCTCACTGATAATTGTATCAATACAGAGTCATGAAATCGATTACTTATTCAATATAGAAATGAGTATAATGTATTAAAATAATGAAGCATACAAAGCACAATATACACTATAAGTACAAAAGCTTATGTATCTTTCTAAATGATCTTTTTTATAATGATATTCAGTTTGTTATTTCAGTAGGGACTTCTTACTGTTAATAATTTCTTTTTAAACAATAAACATTCTAATAACTATTATTCCGTTTTATTAATTAGAATAATACCCAAACTTAACATAATACTTTTTAAGAAGTAAATATACTGTACTTAAATATCATGTTTATTAATATATTTTTTTTATACAAGGTAATTAAATTATTTCTCAATAATTCAAAAATTAACGAATTTAAACAAGTGTATTCATCTTTTATCATAGATTTTGTATAAAACAAAATGTTAAACAAAAATTACAAATATGAAATCTAAAAAAAATTTTTTTTTTTAAATCTTACAAGCACAAAAAATTTGGTTTTTCTTATCATAGTGTAATTATCATGATGCGCTTTAAATAATATACAATGAAATACAATTAATTATTCAAAATGCAAATGGTTGCTTGTAATTGCTTTTAATAAATATCGTAAATAATGCACATATTAGTTATAAATAAATTCATAATATATAATAGAATACACTAAACTAAGTTGCTAAAAAAAAGATTAATAATCAGGTCATTACATGCACTGGTACTAAACCAATGGGATACATAAATCATTATTAATTGTTACATAAAATATTCTAACAATTTGTAAAAAAGTAAACTATTGAATCATACAATCTATATATGCATATATATATATCATTCTATTTTCGTGCAGAATGCCAGTCGTACATTTTGACTATGCATAAAAAGAAGCATAATTATAGCGCAATTTTTACATGTGTAAAACGACATACTAAAAATTTTGTCATATATATGCACACTAAAAAAAAAAAGAAAAATGAAAATTTTAAAGGGTCTAAAATCAAGTTGAAATTGAAATCTTATTTAGAAACTGAATTATTTACAAAAATATAAAATCAATGCTATACAAAGCGACTATTTCTTTGTATGTTCTATCTATAGATAAACTTGATTCAAATACAAAGTAACATAGGACAAACAGATACATCTTTGATTTTAGAACCCTTAAGTAACAATGGCAGATAATAGGTAAATTATTGAATTCTGTTGGTAAGTACAATAACACGTACATTGCTATAATTTATATAAACATACGATGATTTTTCTAGAATAGTTCTAGAACTCATTTTTAAACTTTATTTTATTCCGGTACGGACAGCAATACCTGTACTATTACATTCTTTGTTTGATAACATTAACACTTTTTCTTCTATTAACGGTTTCTTCTATATTTTTAATATAAGAATGTCAAACCTATTGCAGTCGATATATATTTTATTTATAATTATATTTCCATGTCTTATCATTACACAAATGTGATGAAGACGTATTAAGTTCTTTTTGGTATTATACGCATGTTATAGTTATATTACGCTAACTTTATGTCTATCAACGATGATTTTTTAAAGAGTTGGAACTTCAATTTTTCATGTTTATTTGTCATTGCTTTATGAAAATAAAAAAGAATTACTCGGAATGTAGTGTATCAATATTTTACCGTAACATTTTCAATATTTCATAAACTTTTCGATATTTTTTAAACTTTTTTCATTAAAATTCGCTATAAATATATGCAAATTTAAATGCAAAATTCAGAATTATTTTTTACACGCATTTCATTTTCGTGTATTTAAAAATTTTAATGTAATTATTGGCTCTTCATTCCAATGTATGACGTGTTTAGGGACATGGAGATAAAAGACTATTTTTATTCTCCATAATTCCTTTGATAATAATGGAGCAACTCGGGATTCTTGACCATTAAATGTTATTCAATATTTCACTTACTGGCATAGAATCCTGAGATAATTATTTTGTTCCATCAACTCTTTTTTTTCTTCCCATTTTAGTATAGTTAGCAAATTTTTATAAATGTACATGAAAAATGTATATATTTTATACATTAAAACATATAAAACATGTTATCTTGTTTTCATTCTTGTAATTTCATTTGTTTTGTTCTAGTCTTACAACTATACAAAAAATTAAATGTAAACTGATCATTAGGTAATACCTTTTGCAAAACTCCAAAATTATTTGGTATCTTTTTTTTAAATTTATAGATTTTTAAATTTTTTGATATAAAAGTAATAAAAATGTAGCCGTATCGCGTAACCTTCTTAGAATCTTCTCAAATTGTTATAAACAAAAATTAAGATTTTAAAATTCCATTATTCAAAAGAAACAATACGTTAACACCTTCGATTCGTTCTATTCTCAGTCATTATGCATTGTGCACTTGCTAATACATTTAATCGTCAAATTTTAAATATAAGCATTTTTTAAAAAGTGAATTTAAGTTTTCATAATGATAATTATCGCCTTAATCATAAAGAAAGCAATACATTTATAAGAGAAAAATTAGTTTTCATTGCAGTAAGGACAAATCAATATTCAACATTGCTCTTTTACTGTTGCAAATATAATTACTTATACATTATGTAAAAGTATATAACCACCTTGCTTAATAGTTATTTATTAGCAGGAGCTTCAGATACATTGCACGATTATTTCTACTATTCACATGCTGAATAAAATGATGCACCTTACTGCATTATGACGCAATAAAAAATATTTAGTCATAAGGCATCTGAACGATTCACTTTCACTGAATTCATTTGTCACTAGAATGATTAAGTATATAATTTACTTGAAACTATTATTTATACCTAGATTCAAAAGTAGGTATGATAGATTAATTAGATTAACTTTTTATTGCTAGATAATTTGACTGAGATTTCAATTTTCATTAACTTAAAAGAAATTAATTATGATGATTAAAAATTACAATTATGCAAAGTATCTGCATTAAAATTCAAGAAATAAAAAAATAAAAAGAAAAGAGAAAACAAAACGACACCTACTTCGGTAATATATGGCATTGTAAAGCTGGCTCAATAATTTCAAAACATAAATTATGTACAATAATTTATCATTACATTAACTGTAAATTGCTTTGTTAAGTATATAACTTATTATATATAAATCCTTGAAAACCAGAAAGTTATTGCGATGTTGTATCAAAATTAATATTAATATATTTATCAAACCTTTGTATTGAACTAAACAATTAAAACGTGCAACTTCTTAAATCATTTGAATATGTCAGTACTATACCTTTTGTTAAAGGTTCGTAATACAATTAACGTAATGCACAAGGTTAAGAAATGTATTGCACAAAATTAAAAAGAAAAAAAAAGAATGAAATGCCATAACTTTCCAGTTAAAAATCAAATACGGATATCATTTTGTGTAAAAACATTATTATAGGTACTGTAATCCTATTACTCAGGTAGTGCACATGATTACAGTAAGTTGTTAATATGAAAAGCATTAAATTAATTTTTATGAATCATATGAAGATGAACCATGATCATGAGCAGGACTTGGAGGTGTCGATGGATTTGAACTGTTGTTTGAAGCTATTG